AAGAAGCCAATGTTATGGTGAAACAATTGTTGTGAACAATTAATATATATTTTTGAAACTTTACTTTCGTTTCCTTTAATTGATTATGAAGTTTCAATAAGTAAAGCCTTCTACCATTAATTACTTTTTAATTTACTTCCGTAAAATTTTACCTCAGAGTGTACATATTTCTTCTTGTTTCTTCAAATTTTTTAAGTATTTCCCTATTCGATAATTTATCCCGAGCATATATTCAATTCAAATAAAAACTATTTCCGAAAAATAAGGCCATTACGTTTCGATATTCCATTACTGCGGAAAAGCCATTAGATGTTTGGAAGAAAACACCATCTAACACACGCAATGGATACATTATTCAGAAGTCTTGGTGTGAAAAATGATTTCATATTTCTTATATTCATTGACATTCTTACAAGAAAAAGTGTTTTCACTTTCCCAATTCTTTCGTAAATTGTTTGTACGTAAAAATTTTTCTCTGAGTTATTAGGTCTTTAATATTTGGTAATTTCTCACTATGAGAAATAATCACACTTTACACATTTAGGTCACTTGTATCCAATTAAAACCGATTCTAATGTGAAAGAATACAACAATTTTTGTAATCATTAGTTATCGGTTTTTGTATATTTTATTTTAGAATAAATTAAAATTATAACTAGTAGCTAAAAAGGATTCTTGTGATGCTTCATATGCAGATATAACCACATTACGTTTGTTTGAGAGCAATTCTCTCTTTACACCCTCCACAATTTAATCCTCCGTACTCAAATGCCCTCATACCCTGTTGAATCCCGAAGAGTCCTTAAACGAATGCATGGTGTTGATATTACTTTCACGCAAACGACGGGACTCACTGTTGAAAGAGATAATGACAAAAATGCAAAACAATAAGGAGTACAAAGTCCCCCTGAACATTATTCACCACTTTCATTCTTCTGGAACTGTTTGAACAAGAAGTACGTCTCCTATTGATTTTTTATGGACTTTATAAAGCGAACAAATGTATTCGGCATATTGGCTCACATTAATATATTCACTTCTCTTTCATATTCATGCATGTTTGCAGTGTTTTTATTGAATTTTTTAAGCTCAATATTTTATCAAATACCAAATCGGGTATTATTTTAGAAATATTATAAATATTAAGTTTAAATAATACTTACGGAAAAGTTTGTCTAATTTTCTTGAAAAATATTTTTTTTAAAACCTTTATATTCACACTAATAAAATTATTTTTAATACACTAATTAAGTTTCTGTAGTCCGTTTGCTTTATCGGTACGTTT